TCCGGCCAACGACCCAGAAGCCTTCGCAAGACCTTTGACAGGAGACAACAAAGAGCGTTATGGTTTTCTTTTATCTTTCGCAAAACTTCATTCAAGGCGTTACCTTGTGAATGACACATTGTTTCTTCAGGTTGAGGTCAGCTCTCCATAACTTTCCGCGCCTGAAAACTTAAACGTTTCTCGGCACAATAGTTATAAAACAACTTTTTTACAGCCAAACAATAACTGCAGTTACCACGGGTGCGAATGGAAATAACCCGAAAGCGGTAAAGGGCCAGTTTGTTAAGTTAACCCGGTCACAAATTGAAATTTATCAGTGTACGGTCAGAGTTAACAAGTTTGGGCACCGATTTCAATAAATACTTCATGCGTGGCGAGCTTACAAAATAGCAAAAAGTAACACAAAGAGTATGTAAATTGATAAACAAGAGTGTTTTCTATTAAAGCAACTGCGCCGACAATCAGTAGTCAATCAATGGTTATTTTTGGCAACCAAAAAAAAAAATCTCTAGATCGTTTTCATTGTTAGAAATGTCTCTAACACACCGCGAGATATTTTTGTATTTTACGCCCTCTTTGAAAGAATTAGTATTAATAAATCGTCTCTATCCTTAAGCAAACTACGTGGGTGGAAAAAGGCAACCTCTCTCCTTGTAGTCCATAACATGAAGTAACCCCTTCCCGGTTACCATATTCCAGCTAGAAGTCCTCTGTAAATGGATAGTTGTAGTCAGTCGATATACGATCTTGGATGTTGTTTGGAATTTAGTGTTTGGCTAATAAAGATTAAATGCAATGAAATAATACCTGCTTCTATTGTCTTTAATTTCCTTATACGCCCTGTTTCCTGTCTAATCACCGTCTTTCCCCATTTACTATTATGTAAACAAGTAATCCCTCATCCTTACTCTGTCGTCATAAAAAGTTGTAATACTCGTCAAAAAAGAAAGAAAAAAAAAGATTCGCACCTTACACGGAAGAACAAAGCCATAAAGGCAGTTTTAGATTCCACAAAAACCCAGAGACATAATACAAAATGATTATTCAAACTCTTCTTTGCAAAAAGCTTAGGTTTTAAAGTGCCCATAATGTCCAATTTGTCCATTTTTTCATTTCATTCTGCATTTCACTCAATTAACTTCTGCGAAAAAAATTTTCAGTCGATTTGGTTAAAACACAATTCTTTTTACTGAAATTTTTAAAAACTTCAAAATCGTATTTTCTTGCGGTCACGAGAATAACGTGCTCAAAAATGGCCACGTGACTTTAGTTTGTGACGTAGGTTTAGGAGCCTGGCTCAGTCTTGCATATAAATACATAAATCGTGCTAATTGTAAGCGGCAAGGCACCTTTCTGGCATTTTGAACTAAATGTAAACAACTGAAGCAAAATCCCACGTGTTTTAATACAAGTCAGCCACGCCAAGACCCAAATCACGTATTCCTGAACCCACTTCACGACTCGTTTCAAACTGAGGAAGACTAGTGGGAATGGTGGACCAAAATGGCGGCAAATTTGAACATCTTCAAAAAATTGTAAAAAACTTGCGTTTTATGAGGTGCACTGGGTGAAAGTAGAATGAGATGGAGAAATGGCCAAATTGGACATTATGGGCACTTAAACCTTACATTATATGTTGCATTTTAGTAAATGCTGGCCCCGGTCGCAATGTTTTGTCAGTTTTGACCGCAAAACAATTCAGAGCACCTATAATGATAAGTAAACATTATTACTCGCTTGGGGAGTAAGACATAAAGTGAAAGCATAATATATATGGGTGTAAAAAAACGTTTGCAATGGCACATTAATATATACATGAGCTACATCTGGCTCTGACAGGGATGCTTATCCTTCAATCCCTTTTCTGGTAACAAATTGTGTAAACATTGCATTCATCGTCTAGGGGTAAGCATGCCTCCACCCAACCGTTGCAGATGGCCTCCTATCACTATAGATTCCGGAGGCGTGCTACAGGCTTTGAGGCTTTAGTGAGTTAGCTAAGGCCTAGGGCAAACGTCGAATCCAAGTTGCGTCCAACAAATTAGACATAGCTGCGACAGAGTCAACTTAATTTCAGCGTGGTAACCAGCGTCGAACTTGCGTCGATCCTATTTCACAAGTTGCACTTCATTAAAACACGGGAATAAGCTCGTGTCCCCGTGCTATTCACTCGATGCGCGGCAAGTTACTGCTAGGAATTGCTAGCGAAATCCCGATACTCGGCTCTTCAGACAACGGTAGACCCAGCGCGGCTCTCTTTAGGTCCCTGTCACAAGCCTCGCAGTATGCAACGCTTTTACCGGATGTCCATCCCTCAACGTCATCGTTTTCTTCAAACACTGAGCATTATTGCAGATAGGCAATTCGCATCTCAAGCATTTATATTTAGTGTTCATGATACAGGAACAGCACATTTCTATCGCACTGTGCGATGTCTGTAACAATTACTTTCGATAGCTCCCCTTCCCGGCATTCTCGTCCCCAGAGGCCGGGGGGGATAGCGTTTCGCAGATGGGGGAGTATGTATTTTTGCGACGTTTGCCCAATCCATCACATTTGAATCAATTATCAGTGCAATTTGCATGATTTATGAATTGAGTTCAGCGCGTGTTTAGAACGGCGTTTACTGAAACGCCGAGCCACTGTCGCATTATCCGACTCGGCAAGTCGAACTTGTGCTAGAGTCGAACCAATTAATCTGAGTCGAACTTAATTGCGGTGAACGTAGCACCATTCATGCCCCTCTTTCATTTAAGAGGTTCGACGAATTCAGTTCGACAAAGATTCGACGTTTGCCCTAAGCCTAAAGTAAGAAGGCTCGGCCTTGTGTGGTCAAAATAATATACCGTAAATCCTCGAGTAAGCGCCCCTTTCGAATAAGCGCCGCTCCTGTCGGCCAAAATTTAAAATAAGCGCCCCTTCCCCTTCCCCCATTTTGTGGACGAGTAGTGAGACAGCAAAGGATGTATAGTTTTCGTCGTGTAGTATTAGGCCCGGGGCAAATTTCTAATCTAAGTCGCGTAGAGTAAATTAAAAGCAGGTGCGATTTAATTCCAGCATGGTAACAAACGTCGAACCTGCGTCGATCCTCTTCACAAGTTGCACATCATCACTCGATGCGCGGCTAATTGCTGCTAGAACTTGCAAGCGAAATGGCGTTTGCTGTAACCACTGTCGCATTATCCGACTTGGCAAGTCGAACTTATGATAGAGTCGGACCCATTAATTTGAGTCGAACTTAATTGCGGCATTCATATGCCTATTTCAAAATAAATAGGTTCAACGAATTAAGTTCGACTAAGATTCGACGTTTGCCCCAGGCCTTAGATTTGTACATTGTTTCAGTTTGTGAACTCGTTAAGTTTGGAAAAAAAATCCAGGTATTAACGGTGCCGCGATTTAAACGTTAGGATCAGCTTTTTATGTCGATAAACAGCTTAAATTGCTGTCTACCCGCAGATGATGTATTAAAAGAATGATTACGTGAAGCCACGATTTGGGAAAAAATAAATATGCGACCCTCTCGATTACGCGCTTCCCTCGAATAAGCGCCCCGCGTCTTCTCCTAAATTTGAAATAAGCGCCCCGGGCGCTAATTCGAGGATTTACGGTAAATGGAAAAAGACTGTTTTATCCCCTGATTTTATTTTTCTAACATATATTATATTTTTAAAATACAATACATCACACAATACGTCACACACACGCTGAGATTGTCACATAATCCCAGCGGCACTAAATATCAAAATATTGATGAGACTTGAGGTGGATTTTGTTTGATCCCAGAAAGCGTTCTCTTTCAAGTGATAATTTACAACATGGCAGAAGCTCCAAGAAATAGGCTACCTTCGGGTTACGTCGAGGGCTTTGTGGATGCAGCTGAAGATGAGAATCTCTGTTTTGCCGCTTAAGGAACCTGTTCAAACGAGATGCGGTCACAGGTTTTGTAAAGAATGCCTCGAGGAACATTTTAGAAGGTACGACTTGTAGCTTTAATTTGATTGTACTGAAACCCGGGCCACTCAGACAATGAAAACCGATCAGATGGCAGAACTGAAACAATAGATTCCAACATTTCCAACAATGTCCTATTTTCAAATCCACCCAAGCAAATGTCCTGCACAAAACAATGAAATCTCAACTTGTTCGTTGTGAGTGCTTACGAGACTACGGTGTCGCTTAGCAATAAATTGTCAAACTCGAACCGTTAGTACTTTCGCGTGCTTGAATTGAATTATATGCTGCACTTTCTATGGGGTAGTTGGTTGGTTTAGAAAATACATGAAAAGAAAAGCAGCGTAAGAGTATCACTTGTAAATTTATATCGCCAGAGTGTGGGGTGTAGGGTTTGAATATTGTCGCGGCTGTTTAAAAAAAAAACTCTTCATGATCAAATGGAAACAGTCAATCTAATTAGTTTATCACGCTTGTCAATGTTAAAACCTGAAGTAAAGCAACAATATTTTCTAACGCGAAAGTCCTAACGGCTTGAGCTTGTTTGAGGCGTTGCCTTGAACTGTTTACAATGAACTACCATATTATCACGAGTGCCGGTTTATAATCATTACACCCGATTCCCGCCCTATTTCCGTCAAGTGGTCGCTTACGGGAGGTTAACAACAAAAGAAAATTCCGAAATTTTGGCTCTAAAAGTGGTCGTGGTCGCTTACGAGAGGTGGCTGCTTACAAGACAATCAAATATAGTGATTTGACTTGGAAACTTGTACATTTGGTATTTTGGAAAACTGGTCGCTGAGGAGAGATGGTCGCAACCGGAGGTTCGACTGTTTTTTCTAGCTTATATTGGGAACAACAACAAGCGTCCCAAAACTTTTGAAAAAAAGTTGTAGAAATGAAAAACTATTACATTGTAATGCACGCCTTTCCCAGCTTCATTGTTCAGTAAAAGTAGTATGTATCCTACCCCGTTTGGTCTTCTCGCTCATTAGCTCTAGTAAAGAAAGATTTATTTGTCCTCTTACTTATTAGTATATGATACTTTCTTTAGCCATCAAATTTCCAAGTGAAGGTTGCGAATTGACCGGTGACAGAAACAAAGAGGTAAAAAGCATATTACAGTTTCAACTCATCAACCAAGGACGCATCGGTCAGTCTCAATATGAAGTAAAATACTCGTCCATGATACTCGGAATAGCAGTGAGGACATGAACTATCAACAGCTCTGTGCGTTTTCTCAGCCCTCAGAACTTTCCTGCAGTTATTTGTAAACGTTTTTCTCCAGGTTGCGACTAAGAGTGTTACTGGGATTGTTATTCAGTTGCCTTAGTTACTTTAGCGAAACAGGGCTGTTCCTTATCCCAGATATTACAAGTTCTTAAAAGCCCGAGTATAAAACTGAAAGATTAACTGAAATAGGCGAATCGCCTATTTAATATGTCAAACTATTCTCGCATTTTATTGGTTCTTACTTATTATCTATAGGAGGACAGACGTGTAGATTATGTCATTATCACTTTTTTTGTTTCTTTACTATATAAAAAAAATAGATTCCACGTTGACATATATCTGTTCAGTAGATCGCAGAAGACGTCAAGATGTGGTAAGAACATCAGTGACACACTCGCCTAACGGCTCGTGTGCCACTTTCATGTTCTTACTATATTTATTACTGTACAGACGCACGACAACATGGAATCTATTTATTAATGTGTAACAGATTCACTTGGCATCTTGTCTTTTTAAACTCGTCCCTTGTACCAACAATTCTGCTACGTGATAGTGCAAAGAAAGCATCTTGAGGAACACGTGACTGTCACGTGCCCGTGGAGGATCCTTGGATGTGGTTATTGCAGTGAGCCACACCCAGAGTGTAAGATGAAGGTAAGATATCATTTAATATTATGAAATATCAATTACAATTTTCATAACAACGACAGTCTTAACGGAAAAGGGTATGTAGCATATCAATGCTAAGTGTCAGCCACTTAGCTGAATAAGTATAATGAATAAAACTGAGTTTTTAAAATTATCTTGTCACTCACTAAAGAAATCAGCTTGTTTGGGGAAACAGTTTGTTTGATTCTGGCTAATCTTTACTAAGAGTATATATGTCGACTTGTTTTATGGGCACATACATTGTCAGTTATTATTAATATGAATATCAATCCCGACTCGAAAGTTACATTCGCTTCATTTCTCGAAAGATAGAAGTGTAGAAAAATGCTCTGGAATCCAATTTGAATAAATAAGGGCAATAGTAGGCTACCCCCATCACAAACCAGTTCCTGCACATGTGATGTGCTTAAACTTTCTCTTGCAGGACCACATTGAAAAGTACAGCAAGTTCCCGGTAACTTGTCCCAACAGTTGTGGGGTTCTTACTCTCAGGGAAATGGTAAGACTGTCAATTGTACTTTTATGGCTGACTTCTCAACATATTTAACCCACTAAATAGTGATTAAAGTTTTGGGTTAGTAGCGTGAAGTTTGTAGTTGAAACAGTCACACATGCGCAATTTTGGATTGATTTTATAAAACCAGTTAACTCTCTCGTACAGTAAGGAATGTGTGAAAAAAAATTGAAGTCATGTCAATTGTTTTTCCTCATATTTTATTTCGTATCATTTCCGAGTTGCATTTACCTCTGTTTCAAAGCGAGTGCTGACGAAATTTTCTTGCACGTTCATTGTGCAAATCAAACTCATTTTCATATGAAAGGTTGTGCACTAGAACTCGTTTTGAAACAGAGTGAAAAAAAACCAAATTTTAAGCACCCATCTGCTACTTTGAAAAGTTTCCGCTCTCACGTCTGTAGCTGTCTGTGAAAGGGATAATTTCTAAGGAAAGTATTAATGAAGGTGGAAGTCTTTTTTTTTTTCATCCCATAATTCTAGATAGTTTAAGTCTGCATACGAGCCAAGTGGCCAATCCGCCCGTCGCTTATCACGGTTTCTGTAGCATGAACCGACTAGGGCTATTCCTACACCCCACTGGATGGGATGCTAGTCCATCGCAGGGTTACCCCCGCAGAATTAAGTTCGCCAGCACCCATTTATACACCTGGGTAGAAAGAGGCACTGTGAGAGTATAGGGTCTTGCCCAAGAACTCATCACAGGCCCGAACCCCAGCCAAGCCAGGGCTCGAACCCGGAGAGCTCGATCCGGAGACGAGCGCACGAACTGTGAGGCTACTGCGCCTCCCATGGTCCCCGTCATAAGGCATACTTAACAAGTCTTTTTTTTCTTTATAATGTACATTTAGGTTTCTACTTTATAAATTTTAATGAAACGAGAGTGGCCCTAGAATGGAAAATAGGTTTTCCACGTCACTATCCCCCATCTTTTTGTTTTCGCATATGTGGCAAAGTATTATTAAACTCTACACTAAAACTTAAACTCCAGTGCTTCGATTGAGAATAAGGTCATACGTTTTTTAAGCACGCATGAAACGACATACATACTGCTCAATGCTGCATGGAAAGATTTTCATGTGGTACATTCTCGTACGTTCGAGCTGTAGCTCGTTCATTCAAAGAAGAAAATAAAGCAAAACCGTGCCTATTTCTTTCAGATTGCAAATCACACGGAAGACGATTGTCCTTTAACCATGATGCCTTGTCCTTATGAACAGATGGGCTGCAAAACAAAGGTGTGTATGGGATAAGTTAAAGCACTTCCTGGCTTTCTTCAGGCGTGATTTCTTTAATTATTTCCGGAAATCCGAGGCTCCGCACAGCGCCGAACTCTAGGCCTTCCAAATGTAATTTTTTTTTTTTTAGTTTAATGAAGTTAAAAACGCCTTCCAAACTAAAATGTGGCATTCCAATTTGGAACAATTCCGAAGGGTACTGGTATTTGATGCTGAAAAAGTTTTTGTTTCCGAAAGGTTTTGGCTTATTGGAAGGAGAAAAAGAAGTGTTCAGTTGAGTCCGCCAAGGACAATACATCCAATTTCACCAAAATGTACAATTTAATGTAAAAAAGATCGTGCACCCGTCGCGCTTTCCTTTTTTGAGAGATTCAGATTTTCTGATCTCCCGGCCCACAACTTATCAGAATAAAACGGTCATCTATCTATGATTCTAAAAGGATTCA